GGCCATGATGCTGCGCCAGTGGCTATCGGCGAGTGCGAATTTCTTGGCTTCGGGCGACGCCTTGTCGAGCACCGGGATGTCGGCTTTGGATGCAAAGAGCGGCTCGATCGAAGCCCAGGCCTTGCCCGTCTCGGAGAGGAGCTCCGTGACGTCGCGCAGCTTGAGCAGCGACCGTTCCCACGCAATTGCGCGGCCAAAAAAGGGCTTCTTGTACGGCGACGACCGAATGGCTTGGGTCTTGACCACGTGGTCGTCGAGCTTGGTGTGGACGTCGGCGATGGACGCGTCGGCGAGCACATACGACTCGGAGGACGGCACAAGCACGAATTGGAACTCCATGTGGAGCCACTCTTCGGCCATCGCTTCGAGACTGCGCTCGATCTCGGCCTCCATGGTCGCCGCGTTCGAAATCTCAAGAAGATTGAGAACGTGGTCTTGGACACCCATGTCGAGAAGACGCTGCAGCGTCAAGTGCTCGGTCGGATCAATGACAAAGCCCACGGTCGTTGCAATTTGGCTCCAGTGCCGATCTCGCAACGTCGGATTGCTCATGACCGAGATGAGCCCAATCGACTCTTTCAGCTCTGCGATTTGCTTTCGAAGCGTCTCGGTTGCGCTCACGGCGGCCGGCGACGTCTCTGCAAGCTGCTTGGCCGCGGTCAAGAGCGTCGAGTTCATGCAGTGAATCGCGCGTTCGTTGCCCTAGCCCCATCGTATATTCTAACATTCTCCACGAGGTCTGGACGGTACCTTGGCATCGAGCTCGAAGATATTGCCCCGCATCCAGCGCACACTGGCTTCACGAAAGTCGCGGGCTGTGCGCCAGAGCTGGTCGTACGGCTCGAGCGTCTCGCAGATCGTGTCGAGCTGAAGAAAGTCGGTTTGGACCCACCCGAGCTTGGCTTCCTCGTCGGCGATCGTATCAATCGTGTGGCGCGCTTGCAGAATTGCGTCGCGCACTTTCGTGAGCTGCCCCACATACGTGGTGGCGTGTCGCAAATCGCTCTTCTTCTGAAACGAGTTGACTTCGGACTCGAGCTCTTCGAGCTCGGCCTGGAAGCGCGACCGCTTGGCGATAAACGTCGTCTCGATGCGCGTGCGCTCGTTCTGGAGCGCGACTTCGCCATCCCGAATCACTTTTTCAATTTGGTTCTTCCATTCAAACGTCTTGGCCGTCGACGAGAGGAGCTCGGACGCGACCGAGAGCCCGGTGAGGACCGGACACGACGGCACGAGCTCGACCTGGGCAACTTTGTGTAAAAATCCATTTGTCTTGCAATCGATGATGGTACCTGCTCGATGAGAAATTGAATGCGGTGCTTGACATCCTGCACGCTACGAAAGAGCTCGAGGAGCTCCTGTGTTCGCAGCTTGGTCAAGTACGCCTAGTGCAGCCATCGACTAGAACGACATCGATACAAAGGCCAGTTCGCGTACCTCGGCGTCAACGAGCTCGTACAGATCCACTGGTTTCTTGGAGAGGCGGCTCACCATGAGTTTAAACTGCTGTCGAATGTCCATGTTGATCTGGATCGTGGCTTGGGAAAACGCATGGAAGAGCGCCTGGATGAAGCGAGACGCTTTCTGGATCAAGCCCGCGTTCAGCGACGTGCAGTCGACGTGGAACAAGCCAGACGGGCACTGTCCCTGGTTGGGCTCGGCGGCAATTTGCATGGCAAAGCGCATAAACTTGCCAATCTCGGCAGCGTACGCTGCAATGTCGTGGCGCGCCGCCATAAAAGCTTCCAGCGCCACGTCGCCGGCCGCGACCATCTAGCACCATGTTTGCTCGATACCGACACCAAGCAACGATCAAGGAACGTACGGCGTATCTCGCATAGTTGGCCCGGACGCTGCTGGCGTGCGCCATGCTGTGCGTCAAAAGGGCCTTGATTTCGTCGGCGGCGCGGACGACCTCGTCTTCGTGGAGCCCGACGCCCCAGAGAAACGGCGACCCTCCGAGGATAATCGATGGCTCAAACTTGGTTTCGACGCGGTCGACGTGCGTAAAGCAGGCGGGAATGTTAAAGAGCACGTTTAGCAGCGCCGCCGTCGCATCCTCGAGCGACGTGGTAAACTATCAACAAGTCAGAAAATGATCCATGAGACAGTGAACCATACGTTGATGGCGGTGTGGTCGAGCTGTAGCGAGAGGAGGAGACCTTTCAGCGGACTGCACGACGCGTGCTTGCGGAAAAAAGCCACGTATGCGTCAATCGAGCGCACGATGAGGCCGCGCAACTGCAGCGACATGAGCGTCGCGACGCAGTCAAAGTAGTGCTTGGGCTGTAAGAGCGCGGACGCGAGGACGTCTTCGTTCTTGGCGGTGGTCAGAATGCGCTTGGCGGTGTTAAACCACTTGTCGAGAAGGAGGCGCTTGACGTGCGCGGCTTGCGTGAGCTGCCGCTTCTCGAACGTCTTAATGTCCATGGGCACCAAGTGCGACGCGAGCCCGTCCGTACTCGGCAAGTCCACGAGGAGGAGCTTCTCAAAGTCGCCCCATACGTAATGCAGCGCAAGCAAGTGGCTGTCGAGGATCATGAGGTACTGGCTCAAATGGTCTTTCGCCAAGAGCTTGCGGTCGATCCAGCCGCGGGTCGGAGCAATCGCGTGGGCGTAGCCTTCGCCCCACTTCCACTTCATTTGGACTTGGTACATGGCGGGCGTGCCGCCCGGGATGTGCAGCCGGCGCTGGGTTCCTTCGCGCAACAAGAGGTAGTCGAGGACGGCCTTCTTGATGCTAAAGTAGTAGTTCGCGACCGTCTCGTCAAACATGGCACGCAGAATCGCCGCGGCCCGCGCTTGCGGAAGCTGCTGCAGCGCCCGCGCCACGAGCTTCTGGATGTGCTCGGTCCAGCGCGGGTTCATCGGAACAATGTCCTTGGTGCTAATGACGTGTTCGAGGTAGTACTGGTACCGCGCGGCCGCGTCGTCGTTCTCGGCCAAGCTGCGCACCGTCGCTACCGACCTGGTTGCAACGGGGAGCATTGGTGGCAGCGGTGAAAACACGGGCTTGCCCGACGTCGTGACCAGCGGGAGCTCGATTTTCGGGGGCGACGCCGCCACCGGGTGGAACGCGATGTCGAGCGCTGGCAGCCCAACCGTGGCATCGAGCTCGTTGGTCGGGTTTAAAAAGACCAACGGCGACGCTGTCGGGGTCGGGAGGTGCCTTCGGATCACGAGGTGGGCAGCGGGGAGCGAGTAGTTGCTTCCGATGCGGTCGCTCGACGCAAACTTCTCGATCGCGTCGACCTGCTCGACGCCCAGCGTGCGACAAAACGGGTCGAGCAGCGGCGGGTAGTTCGCATCCAGCTCGGGGCAGTCGAGCACAACGTCTTGGTTCTTCACCTCGAGCTGCCACGGCATCGCATCGGCACATCGCTTTTGCAGCGACGGGCGCGGGCTGAGTGGTGAGATTGCCTGGGCGAGTGCGCGCGCCCGGCGTGATAGTCCCGAGAGCTGGTCGGCGCGCGGACTGCCCGGTGCCGTTGGTTTCAGCGGCGTACTCGTGACTATTTTCTCTGGGGACGGCAAGACGTGGAACAAGGCTTGCGACGGCGCCAAGAGTGACCTTGGAAAACGCCTTTTTAGAAAAGACATCGAGTGCAATGCGACTCTTACCGTGGTGGCTGCGGACGCTTGGTCACGGGCTCGACAGGTCGAATGTCGGGGTCCATCGTGCCCTACGCATCGCGTTCGCGCAACGTTTGTTCTTGCAGCAAAGTCGACCTGCTGTTTTTGGGCCATGTGTCCATCGATGGCGCGCTGCTTGCAAGTGACCGTGCCACTCCCGAGGCCGAGCTCGACCTACCTCAACGAAACGCATCAAGCTGTGCATCCAGGGAGCGATCATGTACGAGAGGCGACGACCGCATGCGCTCGCCGACATTTTGCACCAAGTGCTCGAGCCACGACTTGGCCGTATACTCGTCGACGTGGCAGTGGGCCGCAATGTCGCGAAAGGCCAGCGTCACGACGCGATGCAGCGGCACGAGCGCGCTCACGTCTTCAAACTTGAGTCCGTGCCGCGTCGCAAAGGGTCCGTGGGTCGCTACACGCAAAGCATGAGCGGTGCGCCGTCGAATCTCGCGAGAAACCGAAATGAGGAATGCGGATGCTATGGCCATGGACGTGGATAAAAACGATACCAAAGCCCGGGATGTATGCTGCGCTCTGGTCGCCCTCGACCTACGACGCACGCTCAATACCCTATCGCTCGACAGACAGGACGCACAATACGCTGCACCCAGGCGCTCAAGAAGGACCAGACCGAGGCGAGCTCGGCGGGGGTCGGCGGTGGCGTGTGCAGAAGGCTTCGCGGCGTCGCCGTTGTCGCGGTTGTCCGTGCAAGCATGCGCGACGTCGTCGTGACCATGCTGGCGCGAACCGGCGTCTTGCTGCGGTTGATGGCGCTGGCCGTGTCGGGCGTCAAGAGCGGAAGCCGTGTCGGCCGATCCATCGCGCCAAAGTGCAAAGTGCCCTTTCGGCAGAAACGCTCCAAACGGATACGATTAACATGGATAGTACATGGATAGGAGCATGCGTGGATAGATGGCTCGCACACGTCATCGCGTGCATACGACATTGTGCAACTCGACGCTGCTACTACCCAAAAAGGGATCGTAGAGTGGAGTAAGACGCAGCGTCCTCCACCCCTCGTCTGTTTCAGAGGATGGATTGTCCAAGCCAGTATTAGTTCGTTGGCTCTTTGTAGTGGATCGGAATGCGCACATAGTAGTACGTCATAATAAGGTCCATC